TGTCTCATAATGATACGTTTCATGAGCGTACCAAACATATTGAGATTGATTGTCATTTTATTCGCCAGCATGTTACCCATGGGACTGTACGGCTTGTTTCTGTCTCCTCTTCGGATCAGATAGCAGATGTCTTCACGAAGTCTCTCCTTCCCGGTCGCTTTTGTTTACTTCTTAGCAAACTCAAGTTGATATCTACTATACCACCTTGAGTTTGAGGGGGGGGAGGGTATTAGAATATATTTTGTATATATGGTTATAATATATTTTGTATATATATTGTAGGATTAGATTTAGGCTCATTATGTTCCTATATATATGTGTACATGTCTTTTGAATAATATAGAATATATTTTTCCCAAATTCTAACACTCCTCGTGTGCGGGTGCGGCCTCCCTCCGCAATTGACCGAGTTCCTGTCTTTTTTCCTCTGTTCTGCTCTCCTCCAATGCTGCGTGGCGGCTCTCTGTATGCGTGAATAATGGCTCCAAAAGTAATTTCCCTTTTATTTTCCCCTGGGTGCGTGAATTAATTCTTCATTTGTCCAAAGGAATTGGACTTTCATATTAACACTAGGCCCAATCTTTTTTTCTTTTCTTTTCACGTGAGTAGAATTCCACCAACAATTGATTCTATGGCCATAATCAATTATTTACGTCTCAAGCCCAAATTAATCTATTGCGGCCCTTCATTTTTTGGTATTGGGCCGTCCGACCATAGCTCACGGTATTTCCGTCCAATACATCACGTCCGTATATATACTCCAAAATACTGAAAATAGTACATAAAAATATCATAGCACTTTCATCCATCTATTAAATAAATAAGTCGAAAAACATATAAGTGCGATAATATTAAGCGTATAAAAATACGCTAATAAATATATAAATCACACACTTTTTCCGACCAATCACGACCCCACTGAGGTGGGAGCACGACATCGACGTGCCCGAAAAGATTCTTTACATGATCCCCTTATAATTTGGGTTCAAAGGAGACGAACCGGCTATGATGTTATCGCCCAGCCCAAAATGTCCGGCTTTAAAACCCCGGATACTCGCTTGCTGGGTCCCCTCGATGAGAAATACGAGATGGCAAGAGCTGTCGGGTCCCCGAACTGCGTCCCCTGAAACACGATTGTTGCCTTCGGGGATGATGTCGACTTTATATAGTCCTTGATTTTCTGAACTGTCGAAAAGGACACCGACGTCGACGGGAGGGATATGAGATTCGACTCGTGTGTAAACTCGACAGATTTCGTGTTGACCAATATCATGGCGACACCACCAGCATTTTTCACGTCCTCGACTTGATACTCCATTTTGGCAGCGTCGAGCAAAACAATCTTTCCCGAGACGTCAAACCCTACCAACGACCCTGGGCAGTAGACAAGCGGCAGAAGATTCATGGAAGAGAAGTTTGTCGGTGGATACACGGACTCTTCGTCTAACTCCACCCCGTTTCCCAGCTTAGCCGTGGCTGGAAACCTCCGGTCAATCTTGCTTGCCCCAACCGTAAGAGACCACGGCGCGTCATTGTCCATCGTCGAGGCCAAAGGCTCCGAGTTCCCTGCCGCGAAGCTCACGAGAATCCCCTTCGCGTCCGCTGCAAATGTGCCAACTGCGATGGCGTCGTCGTAAAATGGGCTGCCGCCGCTGGAAGAGCCCAACGATATAGAAAGGATATCCACGCCGTCCTTGATGGCGGCGTCGAGTCCGACCATGATGTTGCTCTCCCTACAAAACCTGGAAATACAGACTCTGTAAATAGCGAGGTGGGCCTGCGGGGCCATCCCGAAAGCGACACCGCCGACAACGCGGATGAAGGCTCCAACAGCAGTGGTGGCGGTGTCGGTCCCGTGGTTGTTGTTTATTGTGTTTTTGTCGTTATTTTTGTGTGTTTTGTGTCTTTTATTTTATACTTTTAGGCTCCTTTTTATGTCGAGCGGTTCATTTTATCGTGTTTTGGTGTATTTTTGTTATTGCATAGTGTTTTCGTATTTTTGCGCGTTTTCTCTTTTGTTCTGGTGTTGATTAGGTCCAACTTGTCGAGAAGAGGAGACGAGCCATCCGAGCCGACCGAGCCGTCCATCCCGAAAAATCTGACCAAGCCATACCGAGACGAAGAGAATTCAATGAGGTAAATTTTGGTCCAAGTTTCGTGCGAATCGGAGTTGTGTGCGAAAAGTTAGAGCGATTCGAGCTCCAAGGGTCACCAGGACCACCACTGTAGCCAGTGCCAGCGAATTTCAATTCGCGCCCGCGAATCCCCCCTAACCTGTGAGTTCCAACGCCTGCTGCCCGCGAACAGCCGTTCGCGCCCGCGAACAAGGCCTTCCTCGCGAGTGTCCCCCAACACAAGCCGCAAATTTCCTTCCGCGCGCGCGAAGAGGCTCTAGGCCGCGAGTTCCCAGCATGTGCGCGCCCTGATGCCCGCGAGTTCGAAGATTCGCGCCCGCGAAACGCCCTTACCCCGCGAGTTCTCACTCCCAGCATGCCCGCGCCCACCCGCGAATCCTTCAGCGACCACGCGAGTTCCCCATCATGTGCGTGCCCGCGCGCGCCCGCGCGCCCCTGTGCTGCCAACGTCCAAGCCACACTCTCGACCTCGTGGAATTTATGGAGACCCCGCGAGTTTTTGACTAAATGTGCGTGTTTTTAGTGTGTTTGTGGTGTAGCTATAAATAGACATTGTTCTTTGTATTTTTGGATACAACCCTCATTTCCCAACTTTTAAGTTGGGAAATCCTCTCCACTTTCTCTCTTTTATTTTTTTTATGCTTTGGTTGGAGACTCATGACTCGATTTTTTTGGTAAAATTCCGGCAACTTTATTTTCGATCAAGATTCGAGTTTTACGCACTATTTTCGTCTACGCATGCGATAGGAGGGTGAGTACCTAGCTTAGGGCTAATTACTTCGAGTTTGTTTTTCGATTTTGTGTTGATGCTCGATTCTAGGTTTTCGCTCTATTTTCATTGCTTGCTTTGGTGTGCTAGGATTCGATATGTGCTTATCTAGTGACTTTGCTCAAAGCGTAATGATTTAGTGTAGAAAGCCCGTGTTAGAAGACCTAGTATCACTATGCTTGTATGATTTCTCTTGTTATTTTTCTTTTTCTTGAGTCATGGGGATTCCGATAGACCAAAGTTTCGATCTTTTTCTCTATATTTGCATTTTCCATCATTCGCTCTTAGATTCGTAGTTCAAGTGCGTGCAATCATCCCCCAACCAAGCGAGTAAAATGTGTAGGACCTTCTTTTCGGTTATGTGATTTTGACGACTAGGTAGTGAACGAAGCTCCGAAGAGCCTTTCTTTGAGAACGACCCGAGGCCGGGTAACTCGGTTACCAATACCCAAAAATCTACTAAACAAAATGGCGCCGTTGCCGGGGAAGGCGAGTAGGATGCCAAGTTTGCTATCTAGTTGTCGTTTGTTTCCTGTTTCTCTTGCTTTTTGTGGATTTTGTTTGTTTTTGCGTGTTTCTCTTGCTTCTTTGCTTATTTTTCATTTCTCTTGCATTTTGCTTTGTGTGTTCGTGTACATATTATGTCGTGTTAGTTTCATTTTGTGTTTTCTTTCCTTTATCTCGTGTGCCTTGGTTGTTTTGTTTTTCTTGTGCGAGGTATTTCGCTTGAGGAGCTCCGATGGATCCGTATGGCTATGCTTATGTCGGTAGCTCGTCTAGTGGATGCCCCTTCTTACCCGTCATCGCAAGTTGATTTTGGTTATTATTCTCTGGGTCATGACGAGACGTCTCACTATTATCCGCCACCTCCCGTTTATTATGAAGAGACACCTCCACCCGAGCCGACTCGAGAGGCTTATCGAGTCAATCTAGCCGAGATCATGGAGCATTTAGAGGAGTGCAATCGATCCCTTCGCGCTTCTATGGCTCCCATATCCGAGAAAGGAGAAACCGAGTCCCTTGCTACATCCTCTCTATCATTGGAGCACCTATCCGTTGGCCGACCTTGTACCTCGAGTTTCGGAGCTTCAATTCCAACCACAGTTGCGCCCTCCGAACATCACCAAGAGGTTTTGGCGAGCACTCAAGAGGCACTTGCGAGCCTCATGTCGATCATTGAGGAGTTTCGTAGTTGGAAGAGCATCCCCATTCCATCCGTTCTTCAAATCACACTCACGAAGTTCAACTCTACCGTGGTCTCTTCCTTGATTTGGACGCATCTCACATTCCGCTCGGTAGATATTGTTCTCTATCGGCGAGGGTTATTCGAGAGAGCACCCGGTTAGAAGGCGAGTTTCGAGCTATGGTGGATAGGTTTGCCTCCTTGAAAGAGGTGGACCTCACTCTCGTTTATGATGGAACACAATCTCTCGACACGAGTGAGGACATCGACGATTTGATTGTTAAAGAAATTCCCTCTCTTGACGATTCGGCCATGCATTCTACATTAGCTACGTCAAAACTCTCTTCCGGTGATGGTTCTTTGAGCTTTGATTCTAGTGTCGAGAGTGAGCATGAGGAATCGGGTGTTAATATTGAGTATGGGATGTGGGAGAATTCGTTTGAGGATTCGATTGTGCCGAACGGTGTTGATAGTGCTCGGGAGGATGATATTGCGGAGGAGAATGTAGTAGTTGATGATTTTGTGGATGTTGTTGAGGAGGATTCCGATCTATTATGTGATGTTGTTGACTCGAGGTGTGCGTTGATTGATGAGTCGACTTGTGATGTTGAGTATGACGTGGTTCCTATGTCCTTTGGATCGTCGTTTCGTATTATTGAGGATCGTGACCATTTGGAGGAGATAGTGTGCCTACGCTCGTGCTCCCGATGCTTGAGCTTGATGAGTACACGTTCGAGATAGTGCAAACGATGCCCGGGATTGATTCGACGTGCTCCACGGATATTTTTATATTTTCGGAGGTCGAGTATGAGGCCCCGGTTCATAAAGATTCACCTCTCCTATTGGTGGTTGTTGATATCCGTGCTCGGTTTCACAAGAATTCGGCCACGAGAGTGTTTTTGGCCCGCCTTTGTTCGGTGCTACCGGTTCGTCTATTCTTGGAAAATACAAAGGTGTGGCACGATCGACATTTTTTCTTGGACCCCGATTGATTAGGGATGTGGACGTCGAGCTCAAGACGTAAATTGAGCGCTTCGTGGGAGGCAACCCACGGTTATTGCTTTTTCTCGTTTTTCGCATTTTATCGAGAATAAATAGTCCCACAAATCACACTATACACGAGACATTACATGAAGGAAACGAGGTTTAGGTCGAGAATTGGTTGAAGATGTTGAAAAGTTTGGGCAAATATCGAAAATTTGGTTAAGGGTGAAAATTAATGAGAAAATGCCCGTGCCGACCCGCTCGGCAATACCGACCTGTTAGTGTCGGGCCAAAAATTTTATCGAGAAAGTTTCGGGAGGTGTGGATGAGATTTGGGTGAAATC